CAATTAACTCTGATGTAGGAATGTCAACATGCAAATTAATGATGCATTCATGGTTTACATTATTCCAGACAAAACTTATTTGGTATAATGAGCCGTTCCAACCAACATATCATCTATACCCCAAATCCTGTGTTAGAAATAAAAGACTATGAAAAAAATCATAACTCTTACTGGAATAAAGGACAAGTGTATTAATCATATTGTGCCACTAGCCTCTTCTCAACCCTGAATTTGTATATCACCCAGAAATTAGAAATTCTTCTGCTCCTTCTATGATGTGGATCTCTGTCCCTGGTTCTCAGCCTTGGAGCTGGTGGCCAACCTGGCCCTTAACATCCCTCATGAGATACCTCAGGGTACCCAGGTATTTTTTTTAACCTTTTGAAAATTTTCACAGATAGGTCTTTAAGAAATATGGTCACAGCACTTCAGAAAATAGTTTTTATCTATCTTAATATATAGCTTTATAGTTTTCAATTTTTCAATTTTAGTTTCATATACACATTCTGTCTATCCCAATATACTGGTTGATGTTTAAGTCATCTGAGAAGCATTCTCTGAGAAGCATTCTATGTATTTTTATTTCTCTCATTTTACAAATAAGAAAACTGTGGCTCTGCTATATTATACAACCTGCTGAAGAAATGACGGAATTTTGATTCAAATGCAGAACTTCTAAAACTCAATTACCCAGAGATTCTCTTAGATGAGCCTGTTCTCCCTAAAGGGTCAGGGATAATGAACTGCTATATCAATCTCTTTTGACTTTTAGGAGACCCATAAGCCTAACTCACACAATATTATATATGTAAAGAACCTTAGAAATAATCTATTTTTAATTGTCTAGCATTTTCAAACCCTTACTTTTAGATCTTTACTTTTCTGATCACAAATATCACACAAAGCTTAATTAAATACAGATGCTACATAAATATAACTAGAAAACAAAAGCCTCTGGAAATTCTACCCATTAGAAAAAATCGCCACTCTAAGTAATTTGATGCATATAACTACAACATTCTTCCTGAGAACATCAACATATTTATCATTAATATTTATCATCTGTATATATGAATCAAAATATACTAATTGTTTTCTGAGTTTATTTTTTTTCACATAACTATCTAGGGCATATTTTGCTTGTCAATATATTGCCCACCTCGTTCTTTTCAAGAACTGTGTAGTTTTTCTTTATTTAACCAGTTTCACTTCCATACATATTAAAATTTTCTCATTGGTTGCCATCACAAAGGAAGCTACAACAAACTTCCTTGTATAATAGCTCTCTTCTCAAGCACTTGTGGGGATGTTTATATAGAATAAAATTTGAGAAATGGTACATATAAATATAACATTTTTAATTTTTATAAATATTGCTAAAATTCCCTGAAGAAAAGGCCAACCAGTCCCATTCATGTTATGATTTGAAGTGAATTTTAGTATATTCCAAGTCTTGTGAACTTGAGCACCAATTTTGCAGCTCCAGATCCTCAATTATAAAATGAGAAAAACAATGTTTGTCAAATCTATTTCACAGCATTGCTACAGAGACCAAATAAAGTATTGTACATGAAAACATTTTGTAAAAGTTTCTATTTCAAGATCCAATCTTTTAATTAAAATAGAGTGCCTGCCTATGATAAAAAGTACCTGCCTGTGTGTAAATAATACAAACAAGTTTTAGAATCAAAATTAAATGTCCCTTTGACACCAGATGTCCAGTCCCTTTCTGTAAAGGTACAGACATATTCTGTTTAAACATCGCATGCTCATGCACATCCAATTTGTCTGACATCATTTTTTATCCCTTCATCATCTAATGTATGTTGATTGAAAATCAGACCTTTCCCTAATGTTTTAAAATCTTGTCTTCATTTTCCTAATAGCTGTTTCCTTAGGCATAAGTCATATTTTAAAAAATATTTTAAAATTTTTCTCTATTTTTATATATTTTTAATGAGTTTGCCATTTTCTTTTTTTGTTCTGGCTTTTCATTAATATTTGGTGGATTTTGATTGCTTTCATCTTTGTAGTTGAGACTACTTAGATTAACTGCTGCCCTATTTGTGTAGCCTAATTTGGTGAGGTGCATCCGTCAGCAGCAGAGCTCCTAGTGGTAAATGATTCATCTCAGACATTGTCATCCTCTTTGGGCATATTCCTTTTTCCCTACCATAAGCTTCCTCACTCAGCACCTTCACCTGGAAGCATACATTGTGATCATTGCTGATTGGCCATTCCTGGAGCTCCTACAGACACTGGGTTTCCCTGAGCCCCTCCACATGCTGGATTCTATCGTCTCTAGAAATAAAGCAACCCTGAGGCTGGCCCGACTTCCACAATTGGGTTATCCGGTGTCTTCCCCTCCGCATTTTCTATGAGGTGAAAAGCCACTCAGTATAGACTCTTAAAACAAACTAATAAAAATGAATTGATCCTGGAGAATTTCATAATGTTCAGGAGGCTGGTACAAATCCCTATATATAAAAAAGGATGAGAAACTGAAAACTAGAAACCTCATCAGAAGAAAATCTAATGCCAGAAACTCATTCTCACATACCATTAACAGATAATCTAGAAGATGCAAAATTTCTTTTACTTCAAAATTCTCTTCTGGGTTTATTTGTTAAATTTGATGGAAGAGTATCAGTGAACATATAACATCAATCACTTTAAATTGCATGTCAGTTAATGTAGGAATTATCAGTGCTTACCTAAATAATTAATATCTACCTTAAATTATGTTATGTTACTGCATCCAATGACATACTTTATAAAGTTAATTTCTAGTAATAAAATTGCAATTAAATGCTTATTGATTTTATAATTTTAAGCTAATTTCTAAGAGACATTATTGCACATACTTATTTGTTTCCAATTCCTCATTGTCTTTAAAGAACTTAATCAAATTCTTATTTAGTCAAAAGGCAACTTACTTAAAAGTGTTTGTTTGAAATAGAATCAATATATTAAGGAACAAAATTAAATTAAACAATGAGCATTTCTTATATTTGTAATATATCCAAGATGAAATGTCATGTTCTGAAATCTTTAGAGAATGCTTGAGAAGGAATTATTTCTTATTGTTTACAGGATAATCAATGGAGTTTTCCGCAGACGTGCTATTTAGGAATTATTTAGGCAATGTTAAGGTCATGAGTGAGGCTAATCATCCAAGAATATGGCAAGTGATCAGTTGCCATACCATTTATGATGTTCGTATATATTAAAATAGTTAAACACTAAAGAAATTTTAAAATGTAAAGATTTTTATTTCAATATGGACCCAAATATTTAGCTAAAAGAAGGATATTTGGGTAGCTGATTTTTTGCAGCTATCATTTGAGTGAGTGAAGCAAAAATATGTCTGTGTTATTATTTAATACTTCAGTATAGAAAATGGAATTGTTCTGTACATCAGAACACTCAGAGGAAGAAAATTCTGAGATTTCAGTACAGGCCTGAACTGGGTTTATTGACATTACAAAATCCATGTATTACATCCTAAGGAAAGAGATACATGAAACACTTAGCAGTTACTGAGATGGGTAAGACAGCTTGCAGAGCATATATCACTGAGTTTCCAACTTTATTTTCAGAATTTTGCTTTCTTAGGCAAATTCCAATCACTTGAATCAAGAAGCCAAAATGGAGATCAATTAAGATCTCTTCCTGAAATAGCTTATAAGTCATCAAGTGCGAATAAAGAGGGAGACAGACTGAGACACAAGGCATCAAGATGCTCTCTCTTCTAGTCTGAGGGCTTGTCCCATAAAGCCACGTGTCAAAGACTTCTTATGCTGGGTGAGAGATGAGAGAATTCTTCTAACATACTGCAAAGAACGGATCAGAATTAGCTTCTTGCAAACTACGGGTGCAAAGGAAAGACCTGGAAAAATACATGCCTAGTCGTGAAGAGGTGGAAGAAATTATTAACACTCTTGTTGAGTATGGAAATATCCCAGCCCCCATCCCCACCCTGATTAATTCCATGTCAGCTATATATGTGTTTCTCACTTACTTAAAAAAAAATCTGCTCCTTGTTGTCAAAGCTAATTTCAGCTCAGCAAAATATTGAAGGGACTAGCCCTATTGTTTGCCAATTATTTGCAATAGCTCCATTTTTAATAGAAATGGCATTTTAAAAATATGAATTAAACACTTCTCATATGCTCACCTATTTTCAAACCCTCTCTTTTGATTTCTTTTGTCAATGTCTTCTAGGTTATAAATGCAATAATAGCTGTTCATGTTCTTTGTTGTTAGTTTCAAATGGTAGCTACCACCATTGCAAATAGCAATTGCTAGTCTCTCTGCAGTTATCTTGCCCCTAAACAAAATTATCTTGTTCATTGTCTTGTTGAACCCACATTAAGGTTTACATTTTACAAGTGAATAATTGTCATGAAACTTTGTCTCCAAAGATATTTAACTCTTCTTATATTTCAGTATGAAGAAAATGGAGCACACAATAATATTATATAGTTTTTATTCAACTTTATGTATAACTTTTCAGTGGATGTGAATCTGCTCAAAGTTATGCAGAATTTTTCTAAGATGATTCTATGGGACACTTACCTGGCTGATCCAACAGGGAAAAGTTACCAGGTTCACAGGAGTTTAGAAATTGAAAAGACTATACAAATAATTTAGTCCAAGTTCCTTATTTGATGAAGAAATGGAAATCAAGAAGTTACTGAATTATTGAATGACTAAGGTGACACTTAGCAAATGACAATCTGCAAATTGGATATAAGTTTCCTAATGCCTAATACAGGGCTCTTGTCACTACATTATGATCTCTTCAATAACATTTTTAATCACCTGAAAATGTATCAAGTAGCTTTCAACTTCCTAGGGCCTATATGTAGGTGTATGTATGTATTTGCATGTAACTACATGTAAGATTAATTCATTTCAAATGTCATGGAATTCTGGAATTTTTCTTTGCTCTATGTGGCAAGAATGGGAATTCCTTCATCTCCATGGTTTTAAGCAAAGAAAAGGATCAGTCCTCGGTAAATGTCTTTACCCTGGCTTACAAAGCCTGACAGGGTCCAGGGAATTTTTACTCCCATCCCTTCACCTTTCCCAAGTCATTTCTAATCACTCTTAGATGTCACCCAGCCCTCTGGCCTCCTCTGTCTTTAGTGTGCCTGGCTCGATCCCTCCTCTGGGTGTTTGTTTGCACTTACTTCTTTTTCTGCTGGGATTCTCTCCCTTCTATTGTCCTGGGAAAATTGTTACTTGGATGGTTCATCTCCATTAGTAGAAACCCTTATTTTAGGGTCATTTCCTTTATTCCTTTTCAAACATCTCCTTATTACAGCTGCTGATATTAAATGACTTTTAAGAAAAATTACCTCTCACTGAGATCACAAAATTTGACTATTTTATCTTTTCCCCACATATGTAATCCCAACCAATTAGCATTTCCAAGGGAAGTCCTATGGGCCAGTTAGACTTCAATGAGCAAAATGAAAAAAAAAAAAGGTATTTTTGGTATTTGGTATTTTGAAAGGCATACAATTAAACTAAGTACATGAGTGAGTCAACAATATTTTATTTCCAGATTGTAAACTGCAAGTCCTTCCAGCAACATGGAGAATGAATGGATTTTTCTGGAGTCATGGATGATATAGGTAGAGTTGAGTACCCAGCCCTAGCCCAGAGAACATCCTGGTTTCCCATTATATTTTGGGGTTCCTGTTTAGGACTCCATTAATGTGAGATAATTTTTACCCTCTAACATTTTTCAAAGAAAATTTTTTAAAAAATATTCAAATACTTAACTGTATAAAAATTATGAAAATTGATTATACAAAAAGTAATTTTGTTCCCAAATAATTTTAAAATATAAAATATTTTCTCTTCCTTCATAATTTCAATACTAAAACCCCAAAAGGATGATCATTCTTCACAGTTATTCAATTTCACTGTCTGGCAAGGTATTTTCTCTATAAAACTTACCCTCATTAAAAATAATCTTTGTGATAGGAATTAGATTGAACTATTTCAAAATATCACTTAATACTCTTTATCTACTGATTACAAATTTCTGAGTTAAAACCTAGAAATCCCCAGTTTTGGTAATATAATTTTTTTCTTATCTATTCCATTGTTAATTGCAGGTACTGATTAATCTAACAAACCATGGGAACAAATGTTTACAAGATCACTAAACTATTGCCTCATTAAGTAAAAATTTGGAAATATTTTATTTGTCTATTTGGTTTCTTAATCAGGACTCTAGAAAGAAAAACTGACAATTTTATGTGGTTTTATCACCAACAAAACTGCTTTCTTTAAATTGTATTATCATTTTGTATATTTGCAATAAAATCTACTTAAAAATGGGGAAAAGAAAGATTTTTACATGATGAAAATTACCTTTATGAATGACCAATGGGAAATGTTTTCTAAAGTATCTAAGAGTTGTTGAATCTGATTCTTAATTTGGTAAAAAAACAAAAATCTTAGACAAATGCAGTTAATCTTTCAACAGTGACAATTAAGAATTTATTAGAATGTATTAATAGTTGAACATTAAATAAGAAATATTTTGGAAACTCTTGAAAGTGATAAATAAAGTAAATGTTGAGGGGAAAAAAGAAATCAAAAACTCAGTGTCCTCACAGAATAATCAGTTATTGAGAAGACATTTTTAAAATCAAGATTCGAATAAACACAGACTCTAACAACACATGGAGTCTGCTGGGAAATCAAAACAGCATTTGTTCCTAAAGGGCAACCTGCCTGTTGCAGATGGACTGCCTGCCTCTCAGGGGAAGGGAAGGAAATACATTTCCCACATTGACATCAGGGCAATCATTCTCATTAGCTTGGGAGGAGTCAGTTTCTCACAGTGTAAGGGAGAGAAAGGAAACCCCCAAAGCCCCCCAGTGCCCTATGCAAGGGTGAGAAGCAACAGCTGGGAGCAATTGCAACAGAGAGAGGCCCCTGCTCACAGAAGAATCTGCAGTCTCTTTGGATGCACAGAAGGTGGGGATGACCCCAGGCTTCCTTGCTAAGGAAGAGTCTTGTTCCTTTATGGAACCCCAGCTGGGTGCTCACTAGTCTGCCCACAAAGTGGGTGGGTTGGTGACATGTAGCAGCAGTCACAGCTACAGGGAAGAGGCCTGGGACTGTCTTGTGTTATCAGAACCGTTGAGCAAGGACAGCCACTGCATGCACCTGGACGCTGTCTAAACATGGGGAGATGGCTACTATGAACTCCTCCAGGGGTCTGCCCTCCTTTGAGCCAGACAGAAACATGGATAGAAACTGCCGTCCCAACAGATCCACTTATTGGCTCAACGTGAAATGACAATCTTGCTATTCCCACACTTCAAAATTAACCCTAGAGACCGACATGGCTGATAAAGAAACTTAAGAATATGTCATCTCATTTTCCTCTTTATAAGTCAGTGACCTTTCTTTGTATTTCCATTATTTTATGTTAAGAACAAGCTGACCCTGTGTTATTTTTATTCATTCAAAACAACAGCTGAATCATTATACAAATTCATGAGAAGATGGATCCCAAAGATATATTAGTTTCATAGAGACATGTGTTTTGTCTGCATTTCTATCAAATGAGAATGAACATATTAATTCTTCAAGTAAGAGAGGAAAAAAAGGCTTTGAATTAGCAGAAAGATAGATATTCATTGTATAAGATTTAATTTCCAATTACTGTGATGCGTACGCATGGGTAAATAGGCAAAGAGATAAGATTCACAGTGACAGACTGGAGAAAGAGGAATAATCCCACTAATTCAGAAGACATCTGGACTATTCAGACAACAGTCAACATTTAGAAAATGTGTGTTAAATTCTTACGGATTTGTCCAGCTCTATCAGAGTGTTCATTTTACTGAAGACAGTCTAGAGTATAGAGTAAACTTCTCAAGAGTCAACTCCTTTTTATAATTAATTAAGTCTATATGTCTAGATCACATTTTTAAAAGTAAATAAAACACAGAAGAAAGATAAACTGGTATTAGAACAGCAAGCAAGTTCATCAAAATATAGTTGAATGTTGTAAATAAAAAGCACTTAAATACTATTTCCCTTTAGCAAATATATTTAAAGTTAAATTTTTTTACTCAACAATAAGATTTTGATGTTATTCTTTTTGTTTGGAACTCCCAAACACTTGAAAACGACTATATGCCTCAATTCAAATGACTCCATGCTTTGATAAATTCTAAAAAGCGCTTCATCTTATGTTTCATGCCATATTCATTAAAAAACTGCTCACCGGCCACGCACTCCCTTATCTATATTCCCCATGCCATGACAAGGTGGGAAGGACTCTAAGAGGAGAGGGGCCGTTCTAACCTTCTGTTGGGGGCCTACTTCTGGTTAGAGGGTTTCATCTAATGCCAGGAAGTTGCAAAGCTTCCCATTTTGTTTCCCTTCTGTCTATTCTTTTTTCCTTCTTTCTTCTTCTTTTTTGTTTTAAGTCCAATGTAGTCTTGGCTAGGTTAATTTGGCTGTCCCAAGTGATTAATTGCTGAGCTTAGAAGTAAATATCCTGTACCACATCAAATTTCTTTATATTACTGTGTGTGTGGTCTCCCTGCACTCATCTACAGATATGTATATGTTGTGATTGAGCAAAAACATACCCTCTCCCACTCCCTCCTTTTTTTTATCACACAAAACAATTCTAAGCGAGGACATATTTCTGGAGCAGTTACTCCATAAAGAGGGGAGATTTGATGTGTTACATAAACATCTCAAGGAATGGCATTTTATACTTCCAAAAAGTGTTTTTACCTGAAAACTTTCCTTCTGTGTATTGTCAAAATATCTTAATGAGAAGTTGACCGTCAGAAAATGGCCTTGCAGCTTTTCTTTCCTTTTGCACTTTTAGCTGTCATTTGATCAGCCTATTCAATATTCAGCAACTACCCAAAAAGTATTTTAAACACATGGGCATAATTAGACCAGTGCTAAATATTGCCACCAGCACAAATATTGCTAATTGTATGAATAACTCTACAACTCAGGGGACTATGGTAAACAAGGGAGGACCAGATTTTAATGATTCTGGATTAAGCATTGGGAAAGGAAGTCAGGGAGGTGACTTAGCCATAGGTTATCATTCACCACCAGAATAAGTTAAAAGCACACAGAAGTAATTCCCAGTGTATCTAGTCGTAAGAGTGAACCTTACTGCTGAGGATGTTGAAATCCATCAAAATGCATCTGTTTCTTTGCACAGAAAGTTCTCTTGTTGCACACCAAGTGATTTGACAGCAGCAAGAACACAGTAAACTAACCACTACTGGAAAAAGAGCCATCATTAAAAAAAAAAAAGACAATCATTGGTCAAAAAGAAAAAAAAAATTGCCATAGGACAGTGTTAGCCTATATTTGAAATAAAAGGTTAGTAAAACATAAATTTAAACATTTCCCAGACTATATAAATGGAGAGTTTAAGAAATTGTCCTGGACCTGAAAAATTTTAAAAGGGCTGAATAATCTTCATTAGTTGTCCACAAGATTACATTCTTTATATGAAAACTTGAGGCTCCAATTCACCAGCCTGTAGAGTTGATTTTTCTTCCAATATCCTGGATACCCCATACAGCATAGGAAGTATAAGAGTAAATTATGCCAGCAGATGAAAGTCCCACAGGAAAGAGTGTTTTGGTAATACCTTTGAGGAGAAGAAGTTACATAAGTCCAAATCATGTATCAAATGAGTATCCTGAAATACTGTTGAGCTTAATACAAATGTAGGATTTATCTCACACTGTTAAATGATCAGTTACTCTGAAAAGGCTGAAACAGAGCTAAGCAAATCCCATGGCTCTCAGAGGGAAAAAAATGAATGTATTTGAGGAAGAAGTAAGGAAGAGAAGGAGAAAAGTCATTAAAGGAAATGATCAAATGGAACAGATCTGTCATCATACCAGGATGACTCTCTGACAGGAGAGATTTGGAAACCAAGAGCCTACAGAAACAGATCTTGTAAGAATGGAAATGTAAGATTGCAGTGGCAATACCTGGGCCACCAGTTTAAGACACATACTTTTGTTTTTGTTTATCTCTTTACTGATATATTGTAAACTGGCACAAGAAATACCAACCTAATCTGACAGAAGTAAGTAGCATAGAATCTAAAACACCTTTATCACTCCCTTATTGATATAGAGATACCAACTTCTTTAACACATTGACTGCCACTTTAGAAAAAAAATATTTTTCCTTGGGGCCATGGTGTTTTATTATGAAAATAGAATAAAATTTTTTTTAAAAAATGATTCTTTTTAATTCAATGAAAAATGAAATTTATTGACTGCATTTAGTCCACGTTTTTAGAATTACTTTGTCAATATTAATTGTAACAATAAGAACATCAACAAGTAAGATTTTCACAAACCACCTCCAGGCCTTTTCACAAGGCCCTGGGCTCAAAACAAGCGTGAGTTAAATAAACTCACATGGCAACTAATGTGTGAAATACCTTCTATTAAAAATAAAGACGAAGGTGTAAGAAAATGTCTCCTAGGTAAAAATGCATCATTCTCCTTTTTTTAATAATAAATTACCATTTGTATAAACTTTACACTTTACAAGGAGCTGTAGGAAAATCTTGTTTGATTTGAGACCCATAACGACTCTTTAAAATAAAAAAAATTCTATTATCTCTGTTTCACAGGTGAGAAAATTCAGACTCAACTAAAGTGCAGGTAACAGAGACAGGACTCACCAAATACCCATGCACTGTCTGTTTTCTAGCCTTTCCTGCAATGAAGTTGGAGCCCTTTGACCTGCTGTGGCCAACAGACTGTGAGCAGAAGCAACATGTGTTATCCTGTGCTTGCAACCACATATAACCAACTTGATTAAACTTCCATGTAACAAAGTTGTGAGTTGCTTTTCAGTTGCCTTGGACTCCTAGGTTGAAGATCACATAACCTGAGCATGCCCAGATGAACCAAGTGTGCTATGATGAACAGAACCTAAATGCTCTTGGGGGGGGGGTGTTGAATTAAGAAGCAGACACTACATGGCAGGATCCAGGATCCAATCAGATTGAGCCCTGGCATCACCCCATGACAGGATCCAATCAGAGCATGTTTCCTGGCTTTACTCCATTGCAAGATCCAATCAGATCATACCTCATTACTCTATCACTATAAAACCTGACCCAACCCCCACCTCTGGGGGACAGATTTGAGTTCCAACTTCTATCTTCTTGTGTGGCCACATTTCTCACTGCAAAACCCAGTGCTAGGGTGCTTGGCTTCCCTTTGCATATGGGAAAACACAAGGTAAGGCAGTTACAAGATAGCAAGCCTGCTCCCTCTGTCTTCTCTGACTACAGAGACCTCAAAGGTCATAGGTCCCAGATACCCACAATGGAGAAGGCCATCCAGCTCACGCTGGACAGCATGAGTATGAAAAATAAATCTTTACCACTTAATCACTGGATTTTAGGGTTTGTATTGTGGCCTCTACTGTTAAATCCCTGACTAATGTACAAATTGGCACTTGAAGTTGGATGCTGCTGGATTAAAAACAAAATATATATTATTGAGTCAATATTCAGATACAGATGATGGAGAGACTTGTACTAGAGGAAGAAGAGGTGGTTTCGGTTAGGCTAACCCAAGACATCAAAGGACAGTGTCACCTGTGATCATATGGGAAGGACATGCACATTGCTTTTGCAACGTAGAAAAAAAATAAGCTTGAAAAGTAGAAATGTGTCTTGTGAGTTGGCTACTATTGTAGTAGTTGGTAAGATGCTATAGAGGTGAATTGGGGGCGGGGGGGGGGGGAGTTACCAGCTAGCAAGTATAAATTTAAAAGAATAGATGGTATTCAGAAGTTTAGAGACTGGATAGGTTGGAAAACCAAGAAAGCAAATGGATACAGACATACCTCTGAGATATTGCAGGTTTGTTTCCAGACCACTGCAATAAAGTGAGCCACACAAATTTTTTGGTTTCCCGGTGCATATTAATTATGTTTACATTATGCTATAGTCTATGAAGTGTGCAATAGCATTATGTCTAAAATAACAATGTACATACCTTAATTATAAAACAAATTAATTGTGAAAAAATGTTAGTGATCATCTCTCACCCTTCAGCAACGCATAGTCTTTTTGCTTGTGGAGGGTCTTGCCTTGATGTTGATAGCTTCTGACTGATCAGGGTGGTGATTGCTGAAGGTTGGGGTGGCTGTGGAAGTTTCTTAAAATAAGACAACAATGAATTATGCCACATCAATTCACTCTTTTTACCACAAAAGGTTTTTCTGTATCATGCAGTGGGGGGGGGGATCAGGTTAAGAACTAAGTTTCAAAAAGAACTTTGTGTACACTTACTGGCCCGTGAAACAAGACTAGATGCAAATAGATTACAAACCTACTAAGTTTCTGAGGGAAATACATACTAATTTACCAAAGAAACCACAAGCCTTGACCAAAAAGCAAAAACAAAAAAATCTCATGACACTTTGAGAATCGAAGTATTAGGCAACCGTTAGGCTCCTGATATTCCACATAGGGGTAACAGGCTGAGAAAGTTGTGCAACTTGCAAAGTGGGCATATTCCCCAACGTCCTTTTCAGATGCTGCCAAAGAGGATAATAAAGGGGAAAAAATCTTGGAGGCTAGAGTCAGAGTTCCTCGTCCCTGGAGATGAGCCAGAGAGAGGAACAGAACATAATCAAGGTACCTCCCACACCACAGGGAAGGGCTCTTTGCAATTTCTGCCCAATGTGATTTCATAATTGCCATGGAGCACTGACAGCTGTATCTCATTCCTCCTCCTTCTCAATAGGAGTTTTATTGTAGCTATCTCGTTCCTATTTCAACATTATATATTGGATGCATGTGAGTAGGATGATAGCAAATAATTCATCATGTTTCATCCATAGGTCTTGGGAGCAAAAGGAGCAACATCTGGGCATGATGGAGAAGATATGGGACCACCCACAGATCTTTTGGATTTGAGCTAATTCCAGTAACTAGGTGGGACTTTGGGTTATCTCCCTTGGGGTATGGGGTATGTGTGCACATTCTATGTGTAGGAAGAGAGAGTGAATGCATATTGAGTGACCAAAGGGTAGACTGGCAGAGGCTATTAAAGCTTCCCAAATGTCTCCATGTTTCTCAGTATTCCCCAGACTCCTGGAAGTTCATTTGGAAATACAAATGTAATTCTGGCCAAGGTAGTATGAGGGGAAGTGAGTCACTTCTGAAAGAAGGCAGTTAAGAGACATTCTGTCCCTTCCTCCCTCTCTCTCTCTCTCTCTCCCTGACTTTGGAGGCCACACATTCTGTAGGATGTGGTCTGAGTCCACCCCCCTTTGATGAGAGCTTCCCTGGGGAATGGCCCCAACAATGTCAGACTCCAATGTGAACAAGAATTAAACTTTTGTTGTCTCAAACTGCTGAAATTTGGGAGCTTGTCTGTTGTATTAATTTCTCTGGCTAATACAGCAAAGGGACTGAGACTCTATTCTCTTTATTTGAAATGCCTCAATTTTTCAATCATAGCAAAGTATCACAATTTGTAATTGAAATTAGAGCTTATGGCATCTATCTATCTTAGATCAACCCATTCTTCTATGTATCTCTGTTTCAATCAGACCCTGTCTGCAGTTCAAATTTCTACTAAGTTCATGCAATTCCAGTCAAACATGGGCTGAAAAGCTGCTTTTCTTGCAAGTTTCCATTCAAGGGTGGCCTCATGTACAATTCCCATCTTCCTTCAGTAGAGCTGTGTTGGGTTCCCCACTGAATCATTCTATCTCAATACATCAAGACATCAACTCTAGATAGTTTATTCAGAAAAATTATTCGGTAGCATATGGGGGTCTTCTGAGGAGACAGAGAAAAATCGTGGAGGCTGAACAGCCAGGAACAATGGCTGAACTCACACTGTAGAACTGGTGCAATAGAGATATCACTGCCGCTGCCCTAAGCAGAGACTCTTTGGCTCCTACTGCCAACACCGACATTGTCGTGCACTTCAAGATACTACTCAAACCTCTGCCACTCTGGAACTTAGAGCCGCCACCACATGCACAGTCCCTGACTTTTTGCTTCACCAACTTCCTCTTCAAAATCTTTCCTGTATCATAACTGAAAAGTGAGGCAGGAAAAGTGAGCACATGGCTTCCCCAGAGAGGAGCAGAGAGCAAACAATTTGGGGAATTTCCCAAACACATGAAATATGTTCGGAGACTGGCTGGGTGGCCATTAGTAATGACCAATTTCCACCACCACAGCCATGTGCATACTGCTACTGCGGACCATAATGGGAATGTAATAGACACTTAATAAATATCTGTAGGACGGATGAAATGACAACGAATGACCAGGATAGAAACATTCGGTTATTGCTATTCACACAGCAGCATTTTAAATGACACAAGCGTGATTGGACTGTACAGCACGGCCACACAGCTCTCATGAGTTCAACAGAATTATTATTTCAGTCCAATCCAGTTCAACAGCACTCAAAGCCAGAGCCACAGAGAATGAGCTCCAACTGGCACACTCAGCCCCCGCCTAAAGACCAAGAAGAGGAGCTCGGAGCTTAATAGGACACTGAAGAAAAGTGACTGGGCTTCCAGTATCAAAGTGAAGTGGGGAATTAGAGCAATTTTCCTGACACTCCAGGCAAAAGTGGGCAGTTTGCCTGGATTATCTAGGTCACTGCTTCAAACTCTCACATTCATTTTGCCCGTGGAGAACTGTCCTATTAGCTCCAGTTACCACAGAGTAACTAACTCAGAAATGTGCTCAGGGTAAAAACAGCCTCATTCCTAAGAATCCCCTTTTAACTATGCTTAAATGCCCATGATTTTTGGCCTTATTGATCCAGGCTGGATTTAAAAGAGCAACCCTTTGGAGATGGATTACAAATGCCTCACACCCTTAAATTGCTATTATGTTTAAAGCAGAATGTGTCAAATCAAACGATAAAAAATGAGGATCCAGTTCTTTCTCAGGCTCACTTGCAGGATTCCCTCATGATTATGATAGGAATGAATCATCCGCAATGATATTTAGGTTAGTAATGCCATTATAATAAAGTGTGTCATTTAGGTTAGTCTCCATTATGTCAAGAGGATTACCACATACTCACCTCCTTCTCTGACTTCTTGGCTTTGCCCCTGTGGCTTACTCAGTGCACTGCTAATTGACACAATTAGGAGTGAAGACTGATTTACAGGCCCCAGAGGAGCCGCTGGGGGAGTGAGGTTTTTGTACCGGGGAGGAGGTTTTATACACTCTACCGTGGCTTCCTTTGTGATACCCAAATTCTTCTCCCAGTCAGTGATTAAAGCTGGGGCAGGGAGGTAACCAACTACATCAGTATTACTGAGGTCAGTTTCCCTCATTTTATATTCACCTGTTTAAATCAAGCAGCATTTCAGCTTCTTGTTTCCTTTTGGAGATAGAAATGTGGCTTTAGGCTTGTCTAGTTGTCATCCACTTTCCCATCAGTTTGTTTTTTCTCACTATCTTCTGATACTGTAATGAATTATAACAAAATGTCACCAAAATCTAAACTGATTTGGTAAATCATTTTCCCATGCCAAGAAAGGCGAAAGACACGATAGGGTCCATACTGTTCCTTCATTACATAGAGAAAGTTGGTGGCCATTCCCAGTAAGTGAATTTAGTTTTTGAAGCACTTCTAGCACTTGGCCTTCCAGCTCAACCGTAGAAATTCTTATTTACCAAGCAGCCACTTGATCCATCTAGTTTAACATCTTAACTAGGGAAATGCAAAAAAGCCTAGAATTAAGTGGTTGTTTCTCACATGCTGAGTCAGAGAACAAAAACAGGGACCCACATCTGTACTTATTTTTGTTCTATAAGTCTTGCATCTC